TAATGCCCTAAGCATCCCTTGTGTATAATGAATTAGCTGTGCTTCTATGCATCTAGAATAGGACTCTAGGTATATACTTTCCTTGGGAGAATGGAGAAAATAGTCACTTAAATCCTTTTCTGTATTCTGTGGATCAAGTAAGGAACCCTGGTTGAAAAAGGCTGTGATGCTAGCTTTTGGCTTTCTATAGTAGAAAATGAGGATATAATGCTTAAACCACCATCCATTTATCCTCCTAATATTATTACATTTCAGATTCTGCTAATAGTCATAAAACTAATCTGCAAGTCTACTTAGTCACAGATTATAATTACATTTCATTTATTTTTATTTTTTGAGATGGAGTCTCACTCTGTCTCCCAGGCTGGAGTGCAGTGGCACGATCTCAGCTCACTGCAACCTCTGCCCCTCAGTGATTCTCAAGTCTTTCAAGTTCAAAGGATTCTCCTACCTCAGCCTCCTTGAGTAGTTGGGATTACAGGTGCCTGTCACCAAGCCCAGCTAATTTTGTATTTTTGGTAGAGGCAGGGTTTCCCCATGTTGGTCAGGCTGATCTGGAACTCTTGACCTTGTGATCTGCCCACTTCAGCCTCCCAAAGTACTGGGATTACAGGCATGAGCCACTGTGCCCAGCCCATTTCATTTCTTTTACAACTTTCTGTTCTTCCGAAATTAATAAAGCTTTCGGTTATTTTGTTTCTTTTCCTTACGTTTCTATGGATCTGTCACTAAATCATTGGCAGACACTATGCAATTCATAAATGTAAAAGTTACCAATATGACCAAACACAAAACCTGTTTCCTGGTGCTCATTCTCCTGCAGCCTTCTATTCCCATTCTTTAATTGAGACTGCTGTCAGTTTGCTCTGGTTCTGGAATATGCCCTCACTTTCATCCCTGGAATTCTTTTCACCTTTTTCCTCTGTTGTATCTTTTGTTTCCTGGATCCCACATCATCCTGTTTCTATGCCTTTGTTTTGATAGAATGTTAACCTTCCTAGGTTCTTATGCCTTTGTTTTGATAGAATGTTAAACTTCCTAGGTTTCTGGGCAAAAGGTACAAGACAAGTAAATTTCTTTTTTAATCACTGTGAGCTTGATTGTGACAAATTTCATAAGAAGACATACTTGATAGTTTGGCTGGATAAAGAACTACAGGTTGGGAGATTTTTTCCTTCGGAATTGCAAAGACATTGCTTTATTTTCATGTTGAGTTCAGGGTGTTGCTATTTGACTTCTTATTTTTATATACTCTCTGAAATCTTTTAAGACTGTCATTTTCTTGATTTTTTAAAAAATTAATGATGCTGTGCCTGGTGTGGGGGTCTTTTTGTATCTTATGAAATAAGTCTTTTCATCTGAAAATTCCTATCTTCCAGTTCTGAGAAATTCTTTCTTCTTATTTTTGTTACTTCTGGTCTCGTTTTGGAACACCTATTAGGTATGTATTGAACATTCTGGAGTGACTGTCATAATTTCTTTTCTTCCCTGCTTCCTATCTTTATTATTTTGTACTAATTATTGGCAGATTTTTTAAAACCCTCATTGGTTTTTTTTCTAAGTTTTTTTTCTTGGTTGGTACTTTTTATACCATCTTGCTGTTTTACTAATGCAACATTTCTTCTGAAGAAGTTGAGTTATTTGGTTTTTTGTCGTTGCTGCCTGAATTGTCTCTTTTTGTTCTTAGTGTCTCTGTCACATCCTCTTTGTTTTGGGCCCTTTCTTTTATAATAGAGGTCTTTAGACTTGTAGGACTCTGGCTGTTTTACTCGTACTTGAGTAAATAATGCTGATTCTCCACTTTGCTGCCTATAACATTTAAACTTGGCTTCCATTGTTCAGGGAACTGTGCCAAGAGAAGGGAGGTCTCAGTGTTCTGGAGGATTGTACTGCCTCTTGTACAGTTTTCTTTTTAATCCTGTCCTTCTGTTTCCTGTTCCTCCCTGCATGCTCTCCCTGCAGTTGCTGGTACCTTCAAGTTCTAGGCCTTTCAGGGATTCTTCTCCCTAAACCCCAGTGGCTTAGGTTTCAGCTTTCTCTGGTCTATTGAATCACTTTCTACTGTTTGCCCATCTGTTTCCATCTTACAGAATTTTATTCACATTTTATCTGCTATAGTTTCTCTTTCTATTCTCTTTGTCCTTTTGGGTGTATATCTTTTTAATTTCTTAGCTTTCATTTTAGTTAAGTTTCTGAGTTACTAGGTGATACACCATATTTAGCTAGAAATGATCTACAGAGTTTTTTTCTATTAATATAGTATTCAGGCACAAACATATATACTTCCTCATTCCCCTATACACCCCAGCGAAATAGGGAATATAGTGTATACAGTTTTGCAACTTGATCTAAAAAACAACCTTTGTACAATGAGTTTATTTAGTTTATAAAGCTCTATTTATGTTTTTAATCTTAAAGCTAAAATTTTTAACTTTATATGTGTATAACTTGTCTGTCCCCTATTAATGGTCATTTAGGTCTTTTCAGTTTTTGCCACTATGAGAAATGCTTCTCTAACCATCTTTTACATACATAATTGCCTTCTTGTCATGTAGGTGATCTATGGAAAGCACTTAGATCAGCACCTGGTATAGAGCAGAGGAGCTGCCATTATTGCTGTGTTTTCTGGGATCACACAACAAAAATATTCTGTAATTTCTTCACCAGCTATCTCTGTGGAGCTTAGTGAGAACTTCTTAGGAAGCCTTTGAGAAATCTTTTTAAGTTATATTTTCTGTAAATGTAAATTATAGGTAAGAAATTCCTATGTAGTTTAGCCTATTGTATTCATTTTAACACTGTCGGAAAAAGTCTTTGTTATTTGTTGATTTGGTTTTGTTGTTCTTTGTTACATAGCACTCCCACCAAAGGCATAGAGAACAAAGCTTTTGATCGCAATACAGAATCTCTCTTTGAAGAACTGTCTTCAGCTGGCTCAGGCCTAATAGGAGATGTGGATGAAGGAGCAGATTTACTAGGTATGATAGCTCATCTGAAGAAGTATCATACTGTTTTTAAAATTGATTTTTAAAATGATTTAATTGAAAAGTCTTTCAAAATGACCCCAACTGCTTAGTGGTACAGGGATATTGCCATTTTAGATAATTATTGGGAACATATGCCTGTGATTATGAAAGTTTTAAATGAAAGTACCTTTGCTTATGGGTATGCTTAAAACTGAATTGCATTTAAATTTATATTTTGAATTCATACAACACAATTTATTGAACTCCTACTATATTCCAAAACAGATAACTACACATACGAACATGGTGGGGTGTGTATGTGTGTGTGTATGGATTGATGGCTATTTTCTGATTTACATTAATTTCATTACATTCTGTTGACTTTAATTAAGAAATTGTAACAGTTGACTTTTCTAAGTTTTCACAGAGTATATTATGTTTCAGCTCTGTGGGAAATATAATTATTTTAAAGTTTGTGTTCTAGAAGAATACATGGTTTGAAAAGAATATTGCATTTGGTTCTTACACTATTTATCTGGTGACCTTTGCCAAGCAGCTTAACCTCTTTGGACCTTAATTTCTTTGTGTGTAAAATAAAGGAGCTGGACTGTTGTTCAGGAATCTGGCAAACTTACAGGCCAAATCCAGCTGACCTCCTGTGTGTATGTGTAAATAAAGTTTTGTTGGAATACAGCCACCACCATTTACTTATTGTCTATGATTGCCTTTGCCTACCAACAGCAGAGTTGAGTAGGCAACTGTAACCTAAAGCCTAAAATATTTACTGTCTGGCCCTTTATAGAAAATGTTTGCCAACCCCTGTCCTAGATGATCTCTAAAGTTCCTTTCAGTGCAAGATTCTGGCTCATATGAATTAGTTTTAGTATACCTTCCTTGTAACTTAAGACCCAACAGAAATTAAAAACTGTGTAGAATTAAAAATATATACCTTTGGAGATACTAAGCTACAAAAAAAATTTTTGTCTCTTGGTATAATTATAGTACAGACTACACTGTTCTCAAAAGATTTTGTAAATGCCTTTTAAAATGACCCCAACTTCTTAGTGGTACAGGGATATTGCCCTTTAGGATAATTATTGGGAACATGTGCCTGTGATCATGAAAGTTTTAAATGAAAGCACTTTGGAGTGGAGTGACGTTGGAGTGGAGTTACATTGCTTGCATTATTTTGTGTTAAATTTATTGACTGCCAGGTATGTCCTTGACATTGTGCAGTGTTTTTAGAGGAAAACACAAGTTCTATCTAAATGTCTATCTAGGCTGGGCCCAAGAGCTCATGCCTGTAATCCCAGCACTTTGGGAGGCCAAGCCAAGTGAATCACTTGAACTCAGGAGTTGGAGACCAGCCTGGGCAACATGGCAAAAAATACCAAAATTAGCCAGGCATGGTGGAGTTAGCCTGTAGTTCCAGCTACTTGGGAGGCTGAGCTGTGAGGATGGCTTGAACCCAGGAGGCAGAGGTTACAGTGAGCCTTGATTGCACCACTGCACTCCAGCCTGAGTGACAGAGCCAGACCCTGTCTCATAAAAATAAATAAATAAATATCTAGTAAGAGAGATTGAGGCCAGGTGTGGTGGTTTACACCTGTAATCCCAGCACTTTGGGAAGGCCGAGGCAGGCAGATCACGAAGTCAGGAGTTTGAGACCAGCCCGACCAACACGGTGAAACCCCGTCTCTACTAAAAATACAAAAATTAGTGCAACATGGTGGTACAGGCCTGTAATCCCAGCTACTGAGGAGGCTGAGGCTGGAGAATCGCTTGAACCTGGGAAGTGAAGGTTGCAGTGAGCTGACATTGGGCCATTGCACTCCAGCCTGGGCAGCAGAGCGAGACTCAGTCTCAAAAAAAAAAAAAAAAAAAAAAAGAGAGAGAGAGATTGAAAGTATATAAGTATGTATGGTTAGACAGAAAGGGATTGTCACCATTAAAGTTTAAGTAAAACTTGGGAAGAAATTGAATGAATTGCATTTCTCAAGGAGGGCTAAGAAAGTTTAATTCTTTTTTTTTTTAATTATAAAAACTTCCTTTTTAATCAAGGTTTATAACATGAACAGATTTCTTGAATAAAATGGAAAGTTTCCAGTATACTGAAACATAAATCCACAAGTCACCATACATACAACACCGGCAGAAAAAAACAAAAACAAGTTTACACGATCCCTGTAACAGCCATGGTCTTAATCTCAGATGCTTCCATCTGCCAAGTGTGTTCTGGATACACAGCACACTGTGGCTTCTGGGGTCACACTCAGCTGAGGCTGTGGGTCCACAGAGCACTCCTCAGGCTGGGCTATGGTGGTGGTGGCTCTACTCAGGAAGCAAAGCAGTTACCAGCACATTCAAACATTGTATTGAATCTTTTAAATATCAAAGTGAGAAACAAGAAGGCAACACAATAATGTCATCAGAAAGATGTCAGGAAGTAAGGACAGCTGTGTAAAGCTCGAAGCTGAAAAGTGGCTTGCCAGCTTCATTTCTTCGGCTTCTTGGGTAGTGGGCGCTGGAACAGTAGGATGTGAGGTTCTGGTTCATGGATCATATAATGGACCCAACCCTGACTCTGTTGAATGCCAAGATTCCTCCATTCAGATTCAGACATCAGATGGGTTTTAGGGACCAGCTTGGCTATGTCCTTGGGCAGCATGACATGCTGATACTCAAACTCCTCGTTGTTGTATTTGTCCGAATAGTAAATTTGTGTGTGCGACATGATCGTTCGTCTGGTAGCCTTCAGCCCCGCGCCGCCAACCTCCAAGCAACTCCCAGCAGCCAAAAGTTTAATTCTTAAGGAATACTCTATTTTTATATTTAATATTACATTTTAAGTTTAGTTCACACCAAATTATACCTGAAAAGTTTCTTTTATGACATAATTGGCTTAAGAAACTAACTCCGTGGCAAAATTGAGGGGCAGATGAAAAAATGTTAGAAGAATTTAAAAATTTATATTCAGTACAGTAAAATTCCCCAGAATCAATATACATCACCCCACAAAATTCATTTATGCTGCCTGTTTGTATTAAGAATGAAGTACTTTTGAATATAATTTGTATACTGTGTTACCTTATAATGCAGTAATGAGTAATATAACTTGTAAGGTTGGTGGCCCCAAACTTTTCTTTTCTTATAAAGTATTTAGAAGCCACATCGTACTTAGAAATAACTATGTTCTTTTAAATCAATTAAAAATAATATCCTATTGGGCGTGGTGGCTCACACCTGTAAACCCAGCACTTGGGGAGGCTGAGGTGGGCAAATCACGAGTTCAGGAGTTTGAAACCAGCCTGGCCAACATGGTGAAACCTCATCTCTACTAAAACTACAAAGATTAGCTGGGCGTCTGTAATCCCAGCTTCTCAGGATGGTGAGACAGGAGAATTGCTTGAACACGAGAGGTGGAGGTTGCAGTGAACCAAGATTGTGCCATTGCACTTAGCAAATTTGAATCATTATATATGGACTCAGTACTTAGACTACCCTTTTTTTTTTTGAGGCAAGATCTCACTACATTGTGTATGCTATCCTGGAACTCCTAGGCTCAAGGAACCCTTTTGCCCATAGCCTCTCTAGTAGCTGGGACTACAGGCATGCACCATCACGCCAGCACAACCTTTTTTTGATTTTAATAATTTAAAAGAAATAATCTCAACAATTTTTCCTTTATCCTGATTGGTATCTCATCCCTCAGCTTTCTTACTTAAAACTCTTTGCTGGGTTTCCGTGATAGTAACTTGCCTGTGTCCTTTCCTGTCTCTGACTCTACCTTTTCAGTCATCTTAGCAGGATCTGCTTCCTTTGCTCATCTTTCAGGTATCAGCATTCCTGTCCTAGGCCTGATACTTTGAGAAATCATGTTTGCTCTCATTGTTTCTCGGTTTTCATGTCCCAAGTTTTAATCTCCACCCCAGATCTTTTTCTAAAGCCCTAGACTATTATTTCCTAACTGCATACTAGACCCCTAAGCTAAGATGACTTGTAGGGCTTTACGTTTAACATGCATAAAGCTCAGTTTGTCATCTTTATTTTTCTGTACCCTAAGGCTGCTCTGGGGTCAACAGCCACTGTCTCAGTGAATGAATAGCTCCCCATCCTGCACCTCTCACTTTTCCCTCACAGCCAATCACCAAGGTTTGTTTGTTCCCTTTCCTAAATGTGTGCATGTGAATATATACATATGTATATATATTTTTTCTTGCCTTGCTTAAGTGATACATCCTCCAGAAAATCTGCTTTGATCCCCTAATTAAAGCTTAGTTGTCCTTGAAATGTATTCCCATGACACTGCATTTTATTATACAGCTCTTCATGCTTACTGTCATTTTTTTAGGTACCTGTCTCCCTGGACAGACTCTAAGCTCAGTGTGGCTGAGACAACTGTGTCTTTGCTCGCTGTTGCCTCTTTAGCACTTAGCAACTAAGTGAATGGGCTTGCTAAGTAGTTCTGATGGGGTTTGTTTCACTTCAAAATCTGTGATTCTTCTCCTTTTGAGATTAAAAATTCTTTATAGGGGAATTTGTAAGAGAGCAATGTACCTTTGTAAAAATGCACATATATAACTACATAAAATTGTGCATCTTCTCAAGGGATTACCATATAACTCTGAAACCCATCTATGGACCTAGCTTGAGTATCAGTGTTAAGCCAGACAGGTTTTTTTTTTTTTGCTTGTTTTTAATAAGTAAAATTTCCAAATGTATTAGACCTAAGTTTGTGCTTCAAGTCTTGAATAGATGTTACTGGATGGCAAGTCTTGAGAAAAAGAAAAGACAAAAAAAAAAAGTCTAGAATAGAAATTAGACTACTTTATATTTTTCTAATAAAGAGTTTTTATTGATCATTTCAAAATGAAATTTTAGATAATCTTACTGGTTACATACTCAATTTATAAACCATATTTTAAGATACCTCTTAGTTGGGAATGTATAAATGTAAACTTTATTTATTTATTTATTTATTGGCCATCTTGGAAAGGCTTTATTTCTACTTTATCACGGTCTCATACAGACTCAGAGGTACCATGATATGTTCCCATTTGGTATCCTCACGACTTTTTGTAGTGTTTTCCCTTAAGAGTAAATTCTGTATGTTGCCAGTTAATCTTTTAACAGTAATTTAAAAATGTTGTTGCTATTGTGGAGAAGACTAACAATAAAAGTACAGTACAAGGAAATTCACAACATATTACAGTGTAACAGACTGAGTCACAGTTTGGCGAGGACCCAGTAGTAGTATATACATGCACCTGAAGACTCGCAAGCAGAGTAGGATAATATATGTATCATTCAGCAAATTTTCTAAACCCACTGAGGACTTTGTATCTTTTCACAAATGTCCTGCATACCCTCCAATTTACAGAATATCTGTCTTGTCTACTGTCTTCCTGGCTAATGTAAACTTTAGAAACTATATTATAGGGTTTGTTTTTCCTGTAGTACACATTTTGATATTTTTCCTTTTTATAAATATTTAGACTTCATTGTGTTTAGTTAATGATTTCTCTACATCTTGTCAATTTCTTTGTTTCCTCCCTCATTTTGAAATACATGAGTTTAGTTCTTGCTTTCTGAAAACAATCTAATTGAGATTCTCATTCATTTTTCTCTTGGGCTGCTTACCTAGGGGAATATTCTGGTGTGTATGATTTTGAATATTTTAAAATTACTGCTTTTAAGCTAGGTGTTCTTGGCTGCTGTTCTCATCTAATGCTTTCTCATCATTTTTTTCTGCACAGATGTTTTTTTGCCTTTCATATATTTTCAGCTTTCACGCTTATCTAAGTGCTTGAGAGTTTATAGCAAACATAGTTATCATATAAACTTTTTCAACCAGTCTAGACTCTTATTTCTTCTGTCTCTGTAGCTTTATTAAAAAGTTAACATTCCAGCCATTGTATCTACAAAGGGGAATAAAAAGGTAGTATTTAAAGCAAATATGTTGCCAAAGATCATTTTGGAGTTAGAATTTGGAAACTTTTTTGTGATTTTTGTTTTGTTTGGTTTGGTTTCAGTGTGTGGATAATACATAAGGAAATGATTAAGTAAGCTACTATTCCTGATATTTAATTCTTCCTGGTGTAAGCACCCTGATCTTTGAGAAAATTAGAATATAGACAAAATATGAGTCCATGTGCACAGAATTTGTAGCATTTCTAGGTTGTGTATTTGTTTTAAGTAATTTTTAAATCATTTGGAAAATTGCCTTTTTTAAAATAAAGGGACATGTTAACTCCTTTGTCTTACGTAGTTTTCTTTAGAAAGATTTCTTTCCTGTTTACTTGGGTTATGAATATTACTTCTTCCATTGTATGTGATTTTCCAACATTATTAGCTTGCAATTCCTTGAGATGAGAGAGTGGTGGTTTTCTTTTTTTTGTTTTCCTTTGATTTTCTGTTTTTTGAGTGATATTCCCTAGTGTGTTATTTCATTTTTTCAGATTCTTATGAGAAGCAAATTAATAACTTTCTTCTCCGTGAAGACCACTCCACTGGATCTTGGATTAGATGCTCTACATTCCTATCTTACACTAGTCATTAAAATGGCAAACATGATCAAAGACAGCCACTCAAATGATAACCGAACATTATTATTTCATAGGTGGCACTTTGAAGGAAAGTTTGTATTATTGATTGAAGATTTTCAATCTAACTATATTCGATTTTTTTGTGAGGAATAATTGGTAAATCATTTTTTAGGTATACCAGAGAGCATCTTCATGAATGAAGGAAATCATCTTTATTTCTGTCTTTTGCACATCATTATGCATTAAATCATAACATTGTGATTCCAGATGTTTTTCGTATCATGTATAAAACTTTATAGATTAATAATCTGTTTTCATGCTGTTTCTTATGTAAAACATTTCTTGTTCTTTGTTTTTGCTTTACATGGAATGCATGGGCTTTAAGACCATAATTTCTTTGGTAAGGTTTCATCTGCCTTGGGGGTTCTGTCTTTCTTTGGCCTTGTTTCTGCCTGTTCTCAATTAATAAGGTCTAATTTTTAGGCAAAAGCCTACAAGATCAGCTGTGATTTAGAAACAATTTCGATTCATATTAATGCTTTTGTTTTTTTCCCCTAAGTAATGTTGGAATGTTAGAATATTTGGTAGAAAAGTCTTGATCCTTTTGAAATATTATCTGAAAAATAAAATATAGACTAACAGATATTAAAAATTTGCCACATTTTCTAGCAAGCCAACCAGATTTAAAAAAGAAATTGGCCAACAAAATCTTTAGCCTTGTTTGTAATGAATAATTATTTATAATTTTATAATCTATTAAAGTAGATACATCAAATGAAATTATAGTCAAAATAAGATTAATAAAGGACAGTTAAAATTTCTAAGATAAAATTTGTGACTATAGCTTATATTTTAAATGCATATAATTATTGATGCATTTATTTTTAAAGTCTTTATCTTTTTTCTTTTGATAGGAATGGGTCGGGAAGTTGAGAATCTTATATTAGAAAACACACAACTGTTGGAAACCAAGTAAGTATACGTGCAATTTTAGCAACAGAAGATAAAGAATTTTCTTCTTGTACAAGTCAATGACACTTCATCATTTTAACATAATACTAATGGAATCGCCCTGTCCCATCTTGTTCCTCTCCTCTAAGTGTACACACACACACGTGCACACATGCACACACACACACGTAATGTTGGGACTTACATTGCCTTGAATCTTCTTGTCCCATCTTGTTCCCCTCCTCTGAGTGTACGCATGCGCATGCACGCGCACACACAGACACACACACACACAGTGTTGGCACCTACATTGCCCTGATGGTTATGTTTCCTTGCTCTGTTTTTTTTTTTGTAGAAACATTTTCATCTCCTTTTCACTCCATAAGTATCCGTGCCTTTTCTTAATCTTCTGTGTCTGTCCTTGTTTTACACTCGTTTTGCTCCCTCATTTTTTTATTTTCTTATCTCTTCTCCTGGGGTTTCTTTTATTTCCACACAGATGTTTTGATGTATATGCAGCCT